CTGCCTCCGTCTTCTCGTCTGTAAATGGAGGATTTTAATCATCCCAGGAACACGGTTTGTTGTGAGGATAATGCGAGTGGATGTGTAAGCAGTTAGAATGGTACTTGGCCCACAGGAAATGCTCTGTCAGGGTTAATCCTCACGACTTCTCTAAACCTGCCTTTCTCCCTCTTGGAGAACCCACAATTTTCCAAGAAACTCCATCCTACAGGACTGCCTTCCTAAGACTAGAAGTAGCAAACTTGTTTTCCCTGGAGATCGCTCCCAACTTTGTACCATTCCGCTAGTAGCAGCACCGTGCTCCTGATGAGAGGTGAAAAGGTTTCCCTACCTGTGAGGCTGCATGGTACAAGCCCGCCTGCCTCCTACCCCAGCTCCCAACTCCTGAGGTTAAACCAGAAGGTGAGAGGCAAATGGCTCTGGGAGACCGTAGGTGTTTGGTAGCCTGGTGTGGCCTTGGTTCACCAATTTCTATTTGTCTGGGCCGCCTCATTAGCTACTGCCGCCTTGGAAAGTTAGCATTTTATGGGCTTAGCAATCCATTTGCATGAAAAAGCTTGGAACACTGGGGTAGCCAGCCCTAGGGTCAAGCTAATTAATACCCCTTTTCAAATTGGGGCTTTGGAGGGTAGATTGAACCTTTGGAAAGGAATCTTCTTTGACAGTACTACAGGTCATTGCAATAAAACCCAGGATGGGAGGAAGAAACTGGGAGGAAAATAGCTGAACACAAGAGGAAGCTGTCATTTCTGGAGGCGAATCGGCTGGGTATAGGCGGAAAAAAGAGTGTTCTTCATGCAGATGAGGCCCACTGAGTATTCCCTGGGCCTTCAGTCAGATAATTCTCAAACTTAATGATTTTCACATCTAATCCAAGGCAAAATTGGTCATTAGATATTAAAACAAAAGCAGGCAGGCTCCTATCTTGACAAGGAATCCTTCCAACTGAAATGGAATTATCTCTGGAATAATTAAAATGCTTGCTGAAGTGTGAAAATGTTCCATTAGCTGGAGTTGCCTTTGTTGAGAAGTGCCCTCGTCATCCCCAAATAAACCACGATGGCCACGATCAAGGACAAGGAGGTACCGAGGCCCAAATAGTTAATGTGGTCAAACTCAACTCCTCATTGGCATCATTTCTGAGCCAGAGAACATAGTTCCTAATTGGAGGATGCTGGTGGTGTCAGCTCAGCAGCAGTTTTATTTGCAAGCAGGTGTGGCTGTGGTGCTTTCTCCTACTGAAGTCCCCAGATCTAAAGAGTCTGCAACGTAACAAAGAAAATGAAGCCTACAATAAAAGTATGGTACAGAATGGTTTTCCTAGAATGCCCCCAATGTGCTGACTGTTTGTCAACAGTGTTTCCAAAGTTTAGATATCTTAATGCCAAAAGACTACAATGATGGAGCAACAGTGTTATTACCCGCCAAAACATGAATAGCTGGGGGCTTTCAAATTCATTTATTACAAGGAAGTGCTGTGGTCGCCCATGTAATCCATACCACTCTCTGTGAAGCCTGGTGTTTTGTGACATAGTCAACCAGTCCCTTGTCACAAGTACATTATACCATCACAATGTGCCAAACACTATAGCAAATCAGCCTTCACTCATTAGCAGTGATTTATGACGATGGAGTCTTGACATCCAAAGGGTTTTTGTTTATGAAGAAAATACTTCATTACCTTCTGTTTATGCCCAATGTATTCGTCTTCTATATTGGTCAAACAGTACACATTTTTGAACATTACACATTCAACATTCCTCTAAATATTTTTACAATACTTAATAATGTGAATTTAACAAAGGAAGATTTTCCAACATTTAAACTTAGATTTGATTTATTTATTTATTTATTTTTAAATTTATTACTTATTTATTTTATTTTTGGCTGCGTTGGGTCTTCGTTCCTGTGCGTGGGCTTTCTCTAGCTGTGGCAAGCGAGGGCTACTCCTTGTTGCGGTGCGCGGGCTTCTCATCACGGTGGCTTCTCTTGTTGCGGAGCACGGGGCTCTAGGCGCGCGGGCTTCAGTAGTTGTGGCACACGGTTAGTTGCTCGTCTTCGTTCCTGTGCGTGGGCTTTCTCTAGCTGTGGCAAGCGAGGGCTACTCCTTGTTGCGGTGCGCGGGCTTCTCATCACGGTGGCTTCTCTTGTTGCGGAGCACGGGGCTCTAGGCGCGCGGGCTTCAGTAGTTGTGGCACACGGGCTTAGTTGCTCCGCAGCATGTGGGATCTTCCCGGACCAGGGCTCGAACCCATGTCCCCTGCGTTGGCAGGTGGATTCTTAACCCCTGCGCCACCAGGGAAGCCCCTAAGCATAGATTTTAAGTGTAACCTCTTCTAGACAAATATTTGAGATGACGTTTCTAAAAGAGTCAGGTTATTATAAATGCTCGAAACCCTGTAAAAAATGAACAGAACACACGCATAAAGGCCGGTCCCTTGCAATAAAGCAGGTATAAATATATAAATACCATGGATTTAAAGTTGTTTTCTCACCATCTTTATTCTTATTCCTACCATTTTTAAAGCTTTTGTTTTATTTTGTGCATGTGTGCACATGCATTTATTTAATCCAAGAGTTACCTTCCTAAGATTTTAGTAGTTTAACGAGAAACCACCGTGGAACAGCTGAGGCCACCAGCTCTGGTTATTGTCTGGTTGTTTCTCGGTTGGGATGCAGAATCAGATTGCTCAGCCCACAGTGATTCTGAGCCTCCAATCATCTGGCTCAGTCCCTTCCCATAACTAAGTTCCTTTTAGTACGTCGAAGGATCCTTAAGTCCCCATCTTATGTAGAGATTTTCATTTTTGAAACTTGGTATCTTTCCCAGAAACGATAAATTTTATGTTGTGTGTATCTGCCAGTTCCTGACCCATTGTTCTGTTATTTTGATTTATTGAGCTTGTCTGTTAACATTATTAAAAACTTATGTATGTCCTATTATTATTTTATTCTAATTAGTTAGGCCATTTAGAGGTTTCATCTCCTAGGAATTGAGATTGAGCCTGTGTAATTAGGTCTCTTCTTTAGGACAGCTGGCTAATTCATCACCTTGGAATGCAGTGTTAGACATTGCTCACCTGTTTATTCTGTATGACCACGGGCACTGATTGGTTTTTCCTAGACTTGGAATAGCACCTGCTTCATCTGGGACTCTGTTTTATCTTTTTCTATTTACACAGGTGGAAACAAGTACACCACATGCCAAATGTTCCACATTATTATGAGTACAGCAGAACAGAGGTCCCCCAGCTTGTCCCTGGTACACCACTTTTACACATTTTTGCCTATTTCCTTACCACCTGTACCGTTATTTACATAACTTTCTCTTTAAATAACTTTAAATCTACTTATTTTATTTAACCTAGCATCATCTTAAGCTGTGGTAGCCATGAAACCATGCATTTGATGTATCAGTTTTATTTTAGTTAACTTTTTTTTTCTTTTTTACTAAGTGCACATCAAAATAATGGCATAAGTATTGAAATGATGGGGTTGTCCTGATACCCCCAGACCCCTTGCCTACTGCCAGGATATGTCATCACTCCACAGCTGAGGAGATCTGGTCAAAGACCATGTACAAAGGATTCTAATGGCTGGAAAGAGCCAAATAACGTGATTACATTCAAAGGATTTTTAAGAAACCCAAATCTCTCATTTGTAAAAGCACCAAATTAAAAGGAAATCTGAGTGGTTTATGAAACCACCTACTTTAGGAAAAACAGAGTATAATAAAATAAGATTGAAATGCATCACCTCAACAAAACCTGCTTTTTGGTTCCATTGGTAATTGAAGCGGTACACAAGCCACAAAGCACTTCTGCCCACCATCAACTCTCATCTGAGCCCTGAGCATCAGGGCTGGGTGGGCAGCAGCTTCTAGGTTGCCTTGGGTGTTGAGGAGAGACCACCTGAGGAATAAGGAAGAGATGGAACAAAGATCTGGGTTCAGAGCATTTAATGGAGGGAAGAGCCCTGGTACAAAGAGCTGGGTGGGGAGGACCAGGTGCAGGTGGGGCTGGAGCAGAGGGAGGATGGAGCAGTGATCAGAGGTGTGATCGGATAGCCAAGGGCCAGACTGTGGGCCATTGTACCAAGTGTGGATTTTGGCCATTGTGGAGTTTTGAGTAGGAAGCTGATTTGAGCTGATCCCATTGACTACTGCATAGGGGAGGATTATATTGGATCAAGAGTGAAAACCAAGACCCTAATCTTCCCCAAGCAAAAGCTCATGGAAGCTTGGCCAGGAGAATGTAGTTGTGAGAAGGAAGCGGGGTGGGTGGGTGGAGGCTGGATTATATGTGCATTGTGTGTGCGTGTATATGTGTGTATGCATATGCATACACTATCATTTCTTTCTTGAAACTGTTAAGATGAAATATATTTTCTTAAAAGAATAGATACTTGTATATGTATACCTGAATCACTTTGCTGTACACCTGAAACTAACACAACATTGTTGATCAACTATATTCCAATATAAAATAAAAAATTTTAAAGAAAACGAGTTGCTGAAGAAAAGATTAAATATATTTTCTTAGCACACACCATTATAAATATCCATCACAGGTATATCGATAATATATACTTAGATGTATTAATATAACATAATTAATACATTTATAATTATAATACGGTTAAGTTATATTTTCCTTTTTGAGAAACAAACCCCAAGCTCCTCTGTCTTTTTTTTTGGATGGAAATAACTTGTGATGGCTTATAAAATAGTGTTTCCAGTGTGCTATAAAAAAATAAATAAATAAAGACATGGTGTAGTTCCTCCTGCTTTAGTAGTTGTCAGTTTAGTTGACAAAACATCAGCATATATTTTGAAGCCAGAGTTTTCACAGTTATGGCTGACTTAACAGCTTGTAGGCTTTGGCCTGAGCCACCAGGTGATTCCTGATGCTGTTTACTGAGATGGGTCAAATTGGGGCCTTGGAGGCAGAAGGCCTGGGAGTGCAGTGTGTGACCTTGGTCCTCTGCTTCTCTCCCTGCAGTGATCCCGAAGGTCACAAAGCACCTGCTCTCAAACCCTGTGTTTACCTGCATCATCCTGGCCGCCTGCATGGAGATTGCAGTGGTGGCTGGCTTCGCTGCCTTCTTGGGGAAGTATCTGGAGCAGCAATTTAACCTCACCACCTCTTCTGCCAACCAGCTGCTCGGTGAGTCTGTTTCTCAGCCTCCCAGGAGGGTGGAGAGAGGCTGTCACCGCTTGTAATACTATAAGAATTGACTGAGACCCGCCAAACAGCCCAGACTGTGCTGCCCCTGCAGAAGCGTATACATGTGGTCAGTGTGCAGAAGAATTTCAAAGTATTTTCTTGGAGTAAGATTTACTTGCCTGAGACAATTGCTAAGAGTACGTGATAATAAAGAGCTAAAATATAAAGCGTGCATAGGAAGCATTGTGACAGGCCAGGAAGTCTATAAATCGGTGTGAACTGGAGAATTGGGGGGAAGATGTGAGGAAGGAAGAGGGGAATCAAGATGGATCTTGAAAGTTTAGTAGGCTTTGGTCAAGAACATAAAAAAGCAAGAATGTTCTTGTCAGCATAAAACCCACGGTCAGCAAATATAGCGGTTGGAAGCCATATGCTCCCCTCTATCCCTCTGCCCATGGCAGATGTAATTAATGGATCATGACACTCCTCCCCAAGCTCAAGCGTGATCTTACCAGTCTTCTCAGCAGTAGACTACAGGAATCTGCTTCCAGTCCTTTGGAGCTGACGTGCTAAAGAAAACCCGTTTGCCCTCATGAGAAGGAGCATTCCTTATACGCAGTAAGGAAAGTGGTCTCACGGCAGAGGAAGGAGAATGAAGGGTCAAGAATGACTTCCAGGTTTCTGGCTCAGACAAGGGGTGGTACCATTTGTGAAACCTGGAAACAGCAGAAGAGAATCAGATCTGTAGGGAAGGTTGTGAGTTCAGAATTGACGTTGCTGAGCGTGAGATGGCCGTGGTATATCGACATGATGTCCTGCGCATGGTTGAGGGCTGAAGAAGTTGTGGGTTGCATCCGTTTGTCCATGGTAGTTGAGGACACGGGAGTTGAGTTTGCAGAAGGAAAATGTGTAGAATTAGAATAGAGGGGGTGAAACACTGCCCATAGGAAATACAGGAGGCCATAGAGAAGTTCAAGAAGCAACTCCTGAAAGAAATCCGTGGATCACGGGAGTCAAGGAAGAGATGATACCAAGAAGGAAGCTGTCAGCAGCATGAGTGCCCACGCGTGATGTGGCCTCACATGCCTCTGGTCCCTTCAACAGCCAGGACGTCTTTCAGCCTGTGTCAGGGCTGTGTCCATGAAACGGCAGCAGGGGAGCAGCCCACTTGAGGGAAGGAATAGCCAGTGACTGCAGGACACTTTCCAGAGCTTAGCGGTGGAGGGACGGAGAGAAGACGTGGCGGGCAGTGTGTGTTGCAGTCGAGGGATTGGAGTAGTGATGGTGCTGTTGCTAAGAGACAGTTGCTATTGTGACAGGAAGGACTTGAGCAGGTGTCTAAGCAGAGGGGAAAGAACCAGCAGAGGCGATGTGCAGAAAAGAGAGGGAGTATGGTGGACAGCCTTTGACAGAAGAGCTCATCTGTCTGAAAGTGCAGAGAAGGAGAGAGACACAAGGATGGCCCCTGAGAATGTGACAAGTCCGGCCTGGCAGTCGAGAGGGCTCCAGCCCCGTGGAATTAGCTTCTCTGTTAAGTAGGAGCAGATCATGTCCTGAGAGAAACGGGCGAGGTGATATTTTCTGATCTTCTCTTTAGCATTTCCTTCACAAAATGGCCAATAAACCCATGTAAAGGTGCTGACCCATCATGAGTCATCCGGAAAACACACATGAACACCACGATGAAATACTAGTCCATGTCTGCCAGACTGATAGTACCGAGTGTCGGCGAGGATGTGGAGCCACTGGAACTCTCATACACTGTTCGTGGGAGTGCACAATGGTACAAGCACTTTGGAAAACTGTTTGGCAGTACCCATGAAAGCTAAAAGCTCATGCTTACGCTGGGATCCAAGCATTCCAATTCTGGGCATAAATCCAACAGAAATGAGTGTTTAGGTCCACTCATTTATATATGTGTAGGTAACAGTATCCAAAACAGCGTTATACATAATAGCCCCAAAGTGGAAACAACCCAAATATCTATCGATACTAGAATGGGTAAATAAATTATAGAATATTCATACAGTGAACTGTCATACAGCATGAGAAAGCAAGAGCTTGTATACATGCCTCAGTGTGGATGGATCTGACAGAGTTGAAAGACGTCAGACACAAAAGAGTACATATTTATGAGTTAAAAAGAAGAAAAGTTAAAGTGATAGAGGCCAGAATGATAGTTACCCTTGAGGGTGGAGGGAATGGGGGCACCAGGGAGCCCCTGGGGCTGCTGGAAATGTTTTAATACAGGGGTGTATAAAGGGGCAAAAATTCATCAGTGTTCCCTTAAGCTTATGCACTTCACAGGACGTAAGGTATCAAGTTAAAAGAAATTAAAACCCTACCAGCAATGATGTGGCCGCATCCCAGCACCTCTCCCTGGGAGCTGCTAGGGCAGCACAAGCCTTGTGTTTTTCTTTTCTACTAATAACTCTCTACCGTCCACTATTTTATAAGTATTTCTTCCAAGAGTTATCAGCAAGATGCAGTCAGCCCTTTAGTACCTGTCTGACAGAGATAGGGTAAAATGTGTCTCTCTGTAATTAAAGTTATAACTTCATTATACCTACAGTCTCTCAGGTTTTGCCCTCCAGCACCCAAAGAGTTTATCTCTCACTTCCTGATTTCTTTGCAGCAGCTCCTTACATTTTGATTACATTTGCTTCAAAGTTGGGGCTCTGTTCTATTTCAGGACACATTTCCAAAGTTTTCTATCAACAAACAAATCAGTAGTCTTCAGGGCAGAAGGTCAAAAACAATCTCACCTTCCTGCACCTGTTTCTGTCCCAGGGACTCTGTCTGTTCGAGCACTTGCACAGGGAGGCCCTCTCCCGCCATGTGGAGAGGCAGCCTGGTGGCCCATCTGTCGGTCCGTCTATCCGGCTGGCAGCCCAGGCAGACAGGACACGTGCCCTCTCCCTGTGCCCTGCCCATAGCATCAGCCTGTTAGCATGGACTCTGGAAGGCTGGCTGCAGGAGGGGCTGGCAGGGGGCCTTTAGGGGGCAGAGAGAGGCAGCAGAAGCTGCTTGTGTCCAAAAATGCTTCATCAGTAGCCCCCGAAGACCTAGGGGATGGACCCCTGCAGTCATCCTGGGCCATCAGCGCTGTCTCTGGGCCACCCACGAAGTCATCAGCAGATGGGGCAGAGTTCAGAAAAGAGCAACACAGATGATTAAGGGCTGATGGCATTGATTTATGCGTGAAGATAAAAAGGACTCAATCTGCATAGGTTAAGCTAATGAGGATGGAGTTGGGGGGAAGTTCTGACAACTGCTAAGGCTGCACACACGTCAGGGAGGGAGAGGGAAGGCTGATGATGGCTTGGAGAAAAGGTGCCGAAAGCCTGCTATTGCCATAGTTACCATCATCACCAGGGGCCGCTCCCTGCTGCCTCTGATGGAAAATGGAACAAAATGCAACCTGCTCTCTGGGCGTGAGCTCTGGTCATCAGTATTCACTCACACAGATCCCATCTGCTCGCTGTTCCGTTCATCTTGAAAATAATCCCCAGGTGCCCACTCTGTGCTGGGCACCGTGCTAGGCACAGGGAGCCGGGACTGAACAGGATGGAATGGTTTTTGTCCTCAGGGAAGCTGCATTTCAGGAGGGGGAGAGAGAATAAGAAACGAGAAAACCAGAAATACCTGAGGCAGCTTCAGATACTGGGGAGAGCCATGCCAACAATAAAACAGGGCAAGAAACAGTAGGAAATCCCAAGTGGGCTGCAGGACCACTCTAGATGGGGTGGTCTGGGAAGGCCTCCATGATGAGCATAGGGCCCAGCCAAGTAAAGATAGAGGGTAAGAATGTCCTAGAACAGAAAACAGCAAGTGCAGAGACTGGGGGCTTGAACGGATTTGGCCTATTCCAGGGAGAGAGGGGAGGAGGATTGGGCATAGTTGGGGGAGCGGAATGGCATGGGGTTTAGACAGGCAAATAGGGGCCAGGTCCTGAGGATCATCTATACCAGAATGAGAGAGAACCAAGCACAGCTCATCCAAGAGCATCAAATAATGCAGAGATACTGTGTTTTTCAAGAAGTGTGACCTGTGCTATTTCCTTTGCAGAGCTCAGCCTCCCCGATTGTTTTTCTCACCAGAATATTAAAATTAATTTGCATTCCTTTAGCACATACCAGCTGATTGATGTAGTCAGTTGACCTAGAGGTCTGTTGATTGGCAGGGAAGAGGCTGCCTAAACTGGAAAATTAGCCATGCACAATCTACACGGTAGATAAATGACACACAGTACTTTAAAGCTGAGTTTAGATGAAGTGAATCAGAACAGAACAAAACCAAACAGGAGATTGGAACCCTAGGATCCTTTGGCCCTCCTAAGATGCCCTGAGTCTCTGAGACTCAGAAATAACAGGTTTATGGTCCTGCTGCCTTGCAGATAGCTCTGTTTATAAGAAAGCGGAAGAAAATATATGCCAATTACTCCCCAGGAGCTACGAAACATATTGATTTGATTGATGCTGCTTCCTGAGAGGTCAGGGGGCTGGTTAAAACACTGTCTCCACAGGCTGATGAGTTCTGGGACCTTTGTTTAAACAGCCTCCAGACGCTTCCTTGCCTGAAGAGTGGGAGAAAATCCCCAATTTGATCCCCTTTCCCGCACCACCTGGAAAACGCACAGAGGGCACATCACTGCTCCCTGATACTTTTCTCAAATGCACGTGTGTGTTCCCAGCTGGTCTGACTTGTCTCTCGGTTGTTCCCACACCAGCTGGGTGTGTTTCCCACGAGGGTTCCCCACTTAGCATGCAAGGTGTATGACTTAGACTCCTAATCATGGAGTTTTTATGTGTCTGTCTTCCCCAATTTTCGTGAGCTCCTTGAGGGTAGAAATGAGGCCATTGACAGACACTTTGGGGCACAGTGGAGCAAGTGGCACCACAGTGGTGTCACAGGGAATCCTGTCCGTGCAGGGCTCAGCCTCGGGCCTGGCACCCAGTGTCTGCGTTCATTGGCCCCTCTTCTCTGGCTAATGGTCCCCGCCCCTCTTCTCTCCTCCAGGGATGACTGCGATCCCATGTGCCTGTCTGGGCATCTTCCTGGGCGGTCTCCTGGTGAAGAAACTCAGCCTGTCTGCCCTCGGGGCCATTCGGATGGCCATGCTCGTCAACCTGGTGTCCACCGCTTGTTACGTCTCCTTCCTCTTCCTGGGCTGTGACACGGGCCCTGTGGCTGGGGTTACTGTTCCCTATGGAAACACGTAAGTCCCAGAAAGGTCTCGCCACCCCTGCCTGCCCAGGATGCCAGGACCCTCTCTCCGGGGTAGTGACCATGAGCTGGGAAGTCGATGATGCCTCTGCATCTTCCTCCCAGGGTCGAAGAGTCTATGTGAACCTTCTGGGCGGAGAGGGCTGACTTCCACTTAAAGGCCCTCTTCCAGGGCGGCCAAGGGAGCACTGGGGAGACAGTCAGACATTCACTCCCCAGAGGACTCAAATGCCTATTTTTGGCATTTGACTTTAGGAATGACGTGAAGATAGAAAATTAAAAATAAGTTTTATTTTAAAATTCAACTTAAAATAAGAGACTTCAACAATTCCTTTTTTTTTTTTTTTTGGCCGTATGCATGGCACGAGGGATCTTAGTTCCCTGACCAGGGATCAAACCTACACCCCCTGCAATGGAAGCACGGAGTCTTAACCACTGAATCACCAGGGAAGTCCCAACAATTCCTTAAACAATCAGAAGCTATCATTAGACTCACACAGTAATTACAGGGTCTGAGCCATGGTAGGTATTGATAAGTGTGGGAGGGAGAGATGGAGGGGAAAAAAGGAGAGAGGAATGGAAAGAAGTTAGCTCTTGTAGGACAACTTATTTCCTAGTTATTATCCCAAGACTTTGAACTGAAGTCCAATCAGACTTGCCCTTAGAGGGAATTACAGAGAGTCCTTACATATCCAGTGCCAATAGCTGTCCCCTTTTCTACGTGAGACTCTGCAGCTGCCTTGGGAATCCAGTTTGGAGCATCAGGGCTGCAGCATGGTTGGCCTGCAGGGTACCAGTTCCTCTCCACACCAGTCTCCTCCTCTGAGCAGGCCACCAGGCCTTCTCCTGAAGTTGTCAGGAGAAGTGGGGCCGGGCTTATCTGCCACCCTGCGAGGTCAAACAGGCAGAATGGGAGCACATGGGCAGAGGCAGCTTCTGTATATCCATGCACAGTCCAAGCACTGATGGCTCTCCTTCCCTGAACCATGACCACAGAGGGCAGAGGGCTGTCACTGGGGGGATCCAACAGAAGTGGACCTTTCTCTGATGGGTTCCACGTTTCCTGTCTTTTCCAGCTCATCACCTGGCTCGGCCCTGGACCCCTACTCGTCCTGCAATAAAAACTGTGAATGCCAAACGGATTCCTTCACTCCAGTGTGTGGGGCAGATGGCATCACCTACCTGTCTGCCTGCTTTGCTGGCTGCAACAGCACGGTATTGGTGATTTTCTGATGGGGTGGGATGGGGCTGGGGACCCAGACAGCTAAAGTAGCTTAAAACCCAAGGTCAAGGGCAAGAGTGGGCAACCACACGTGTCCCCAACTTTGTGTTCCTGCACTGTGAATTTATCTCAGCCTCTGCCCTGCTCTAGCGGAGGATTCTCCATCAGCAGGATGGGAGGCCTGCCAGGCCATCCAGCTGCTTCTTGCTAAATCAAATAGGTTTCCAAAAAGTGTCTTTGAGCAACTGAAAGTAAACATTCAAAGGAAGCTCTGTGGAGCCAGAGGAAAAGATTGTGGTTCAAAGAACTCACAAAAGGTATCAGTGGAATGGGATGACTCTACAGATAATGAGCTCCCCATCAACAGAAGTATGTAAAGAAAGGCTAGAAAGCCACTTATCAGGGAAGGCCTCTTCCAAACCTGAGGTTATGTGGCACTAATCCAACCTGTTCTCTGCTCAGTTTCCTTTGCCCTTTTCTTCTTAGCTAGATGCCTCCCACCTTTTTCCATCCTCCCACTATCATTTTTTTTTTTTTGGCTCTTTCCTTCTCAGCATGAATTATACAGTTGGCTGTCAGCCTGCAACTTTCCACATTCTCTGCATGAAAACTTGCGGCTAAGGGACCCAGTCCTGCTGATCCCACCTTGCAGGCGTCTCTTGCACCTGCCCTTCTTCTGCATCCACACCACCACTGCCCTGGTGCAGATCCTCCTTATCTCTTGCTTGGACCGGCGTAGTAGTTGCCTCCCTGGCCTCGCAACTCAGGATCACCCCCTGCTGGTCTGTCTTCTACACCGAAGCCAGAATGATTTCTGTAATACTGCATAGGACCCTTTCTAATGCTACTGTCAGCTAGAAGATAAGATCTAGCACTGAATTGGGTTTGTGTGTGTCGTCAGCATGTGTCTGTCCTCCGCCATGCTCTTCATCTGTGCTTCCTTTCAGTTTGTGGTATTCAGCTTTCCCCACACAGCACGTGTCTTTTCCTGCTTCACCCTCCAATTGGACAACTCCTACTCACCTGTCAATACCCTACTTAAATGCCCCCTGCTCTGTGATACCATCCCTGCCCTGCTTTATCTTTGGGGTTCTTGACCCTGCAATCTTAGTACCTGTCTCTCCTGGAGGCACTTCTCTCATTTCACTGCAGTGATCTGTTTGTCATTTGCCCTGACCTGTGAGTTTCCTAAGTGAGAGCTGGCATCCACAAGTGCTCCAGAAATGTCCAGAAATGTATGGATGGAAAGAAAGATAAGAAGGCTGAGTGGCTGCTTTCAAGGAACTTAGAGTTGAAATCATTTGTTTCCTCCCCTTTCCACATCCTGTACCTTTTGGGAGTAGTGATTTCTCCGAAGGAAGAAAAATTGATCATTTATTTTCATTTCCAAAGATCTCATTTTTCCTTGCATTTAACATTTAGACTCTTGGCCAGTTACTACCATTGTTCTGTAGAGAAAGTAAATCACCCTGGGGGGAGGGGAACTGATTTTTTAAATTAGATGATAAAGCAATTTCTTCAAGTGAGAGGAAATGAATTTTTAAAAAGAGATGGGACCTTGAGAATGGTTAAAATAAAAATTCAAACTATTCTTTTTCATGACAGCAATTTCATTAACATTTTAATGTCCAAAAAGTTATATTATAAATCAGTTTTGGTTACTGTGCTGTTATAAGAATGACATTGACTCAGTATAGGCGCTAGTGTCCCGAGACCAAAGCAGTCTATTCCAGAGCATTTTCTGACCAAAAAATAGTCTAGAAAAATCCATGTCTCCTGATCTTGCGTGGACGAGAGTCTTATTGAATAAGAGCCTTATCAGGCCCGGGTTTGCTTCTAGCTGCTGAAACAGCAAGCTGTGGAATGCACTTATCATCAGAGGGCAAGCTTCTCCGCTTCCCTCTGGACATACGGTTTATTCCCCAGACACCTGCCTTTTCTTCACAGTACCGGAGGCCTCACGTTGTCTGCTGGGGTGCAGGCAAAGCAGAGAGGTGATATCCCCCCACAATTACAAGGCAAAGATTGAGAAAACCCCAGGGCTGGGGTGGGAATAACACTCCACCCCGCGGAGGCAGATCTCTGGGGGCCCTGCCTTCCAATGGGTGGACGAGGGCTTTGGGGCCACAGAGCCACGTGTATCCTGGAAAGGGGCCTTTGTGATGGCCGAGCCCTAAAAACAACCACAAGCATAAAACTTGCAACAGCAGCACGTTTTTCCGAGAGCCGGTGCGGGCCAGGTGACGGGGCCTCCCACGTGTCCCTCATGGCCCGTGGCAGCTTGGCCCAGAGTCAGAGGAATATCAGTGTTTTGAGAAAATGCCAAAACAGTGGATTAGATTCCTGGTGCGTGTACTCCCTCCTCCTCTACCTCTCTTCCTTTCTTGTCTCCAAGCTCCCCCGAAAAACTCTTCCACAGACTACAGTCTTCTTCATCTCTCTTCCCTC